TGTAATTATAGCACTAATGGGATACATATCAATCCACAGGTAAATCATTATGTAATTTCTTCAATTTTCTGTTCAGAGCATTTCTGAAATCATATTGACAAATAAAAGCTTTAATTGTACTTAAATTCCCATCAGAAATAGCTGTCATTTGAATCGTTTCAAGAGCTTGAGATTTTCCTTTAAAGAAAAGTCTTCACATTAGAATAAAGTAAAAATAAGCAACATTAAAAATAAAAACTGTTTGAACTATATATCCATTTATTCCTAATGTAGTTAGCAGTAAGTGACAATTTCTGCCTCACCATTTTTTATCATCGTTATCCGCCTGTAATTCTGGCTCTTCTCCTCTCTTTGATTCTTCAGTACTCACAAATTTATAAGCCATTAAATCACAAAATGTTAAGTTTTGATAATGATAATCTCTTCAGTTAACCTTTACTGAACTTTCATGGTTTAGGCAAACTGAGCATACAAAAACGGACAATAAGCATAACAAACACCAAATATAGTTTAAAACAAAAAGTGAAGAAGGAGCTTAGAAAAACAAAGGAAAGACTTCTTTGTCGTATGCGGTTCTGGAAACTGTTCTATAGCTCTTCCACCAATATCTACGGAGCTGGTGAAGGAATGACTGGGTGATGTTCCCCAAGTAAAGTTCCCCATTGTGGTCCCTCTTAGGTGTAACAGGCTGCTAATCTGGATTCTGGCTGATGCCTTTTAAAGCATTCCCTGTCCTGATAACTCAACAGGTGTGGAGGAAGCCATTTCTCTACTTTCCTTGACATCCAGCCAAGTTTCCTCAAATCAATGACGGGTCCCTTTTTGCCTCTACAAAATGTGTACACATGCAATGATAAGCATTTGTCACTGCAGCACTGCAGGATCAACAAACTGGGTCTACAAGTCAGTCCCTCTTAGCATCTAAAACAGTTTAGACTCTCCTTTCTGCAGAAATGCTGCAGAAATCGGGGTCTTTTGTGTTGGATGTGGAGGAAAAGAAAGAGAAGAAGGTAAGAAAAGAAGCTTATGCTTTTCCTCAAATATTTTTTGCCATCCAAATTAGCACAAATTAGTTTTAGGACAGTGATGGCAATAACACATATTCCCTTTTTAAATCATTAACAATTACGTAAAGTAGCCTTTTTAACTGCATGTGAACTCCAGTCCCCCAAACTCTTGGGACCTTGGATTTTAACTTTTTCTATTCAGATTTTCTGGCCTCTCAGAAACAATTCTAGTAAACGTGTATCTATGAAAAAGAAGTTACTTTCTCACTAATTAATTCAAAGCTCAGAACTCCTAATACTAGATTCAACAGTGGTGTGGATACAAGAAGCTACTCGCAAAGAAGATGCCCACTTGCAAAATCAGGTAAGGAGGAGGGGGTCTGACTGTTCTGTGGATGACATTGAGTGAAGTGGCAGAGAGCCAACGCATACCATAAACAGACAGCACACCATTTCACAGAATAATGAAGAACACAGAGTTAAATCAAGTCTATCTGTAGATTAAGGAGAATACCAAACACTGCAAGGGCAGTAAGCATACAGAGCTCTGCTTTAAATCTGGTTATACGGCTTCTGAATCAAAACACTTTAAAGAAGCTGCTTCTTTTTCAGAGCTCACTGCCATGCTCTATTGGCATCTGAAGATAAAATCTTCTAGGCAGCAAACTTTCTGGTCTTGTTGACACCAGAATACATTTAAGCTGGAGACTTAGTTACTGCCTAAAGTAAGATTCCATCTAATAGCGAATGAAAGGCTAAGGGAGAAAAAGTGCAATCAGTAACATTGAATGGTCCCAGAAGGAGTGCCCTGGCCAGGCTGTGATGAGATGCCTTCTGAGGCAGCAGGTGTACAACAGTCTCCTTTAGTCAGGCAGCTGGAATTCCAGCAGTGGCTTGAACGGCTTTTACTTTTACTTTTCTGCATAACAAAGTATTATAAAAGCTCCACTATTATATGAGTTATCTGGTTGTCACTTATTTGTTTTTGCTTTCTCCCTGAAGTACAAACCACAAGAAGCTTGCAGTCTGCATACTGAAAAGGTCTTAATTCAAAGATCAGAAGCTCAAGTCAAGACAGAAATGTATATGACTTCTTTTCACAAGAAAATCCTGTTTCAGTGAGCTTGTGTTTTATATGCTGAGACATCAATAAACTCAGCACCAACACTAATGAAGTTATTAATTTCAAATTAATCTCTTCTATGCCAGAGAATCTCCTTTTTACCAGCGTTGCTGCAATAGCAATGTAAAGAAAATAGAGTTGGATTTTCACTTGCCATGGAAAAGGCAGAGCTTGGCTGTAGGGCCACACAGACCCAGTGAAAGTTAGTTATGGTTTTTGTTTTGTTCAAAACATCCAAGCTTTTATCACAGCACTTAAGAAGAGCATTAGGCTAGGAACATCTATGTAAGCCTATAGAGTAGAAAACCCAAAGAAATGCCCTGTCATTCAAGCTTCCACAATACCCAGGTTTTCTTATTGGGCATTCAAACAAGGATTTTCATTTATCCTTAAGAGTATTCAACTCGACTATCTTCTAGAACAGCCTACATTTACAAGAATAAAATAAAAACAAACCAACAACAAAAACATCCCAAGACATGAGGTTAAATGTATATGGAATTATGCAGCCAAACCCATAACTAAAAGTCTATTATGTTAAAAGCTGAAATGCTAAAAGAATATAAAAACTTCTTTTAAGTACAGATCTATTGTGTAGCTTTTAAACACTACCCAGATAGTTACCTAAATTAAATCCAATGTTCTTTCCGAAATAATGACCTGCTTGCAAGAAGATAATCAGCACTTTCAATTGGCAAAAAACAGTAAAACTGTTGAAATCACATGTATACATTGGTGAAAACTCTGTAGGTCTGTGGATTTTATCAGCAAGAATAGATTCAGCTTCATAACTCATACCACGTCTTGACTTCAATATACAGATATACTACTGTACTCTCCTTTTAAAAATCAGTAATTTGCTTCACACATGTTAGTTTTATTAAAAGTTCTCTACTCTAGAATGCAACATTTCTCCTGATTGACAATTTATAAAATAATTCTTCCCAAGTCAGATTGCCTGTTGCAGTCCCACTTACCTGTCCCTCTCCCCTACCACATACTAACATACTTCTACTTTGATATCTGTGCATCAGCAAAACAAATCCTTTTCCTTAATTACTGATGCTCATACTACAAACTGAGCACAGAGATCTGCTCTGAAAAATGCAACTCTTTGAAATTTCCCCATACAAAATTCATAACATTGACTAGTCGGTGATTTCCAATTGAAACTAGTGAAATAGTGAAATTAGTGAATAATTAAAATTAAATCATCAGGAAGTCTGAAAAAATAGTCAGCTGAGCACATATCTAATAAGATAACACATTTCTTCTAAATAGAAGTATTTTAGCACTATCTTGTCCTGCAGTCCCAACAGTCATGAGGTTGGCAGCAACCCGCGGAAGATGCATGGTTTTCAAACACTAAAGCTCCATTTGATTTTGATACACCACAAACTCCAACTATTGTTTTAACTACTCCTAAAGAAGCATGAACCTTATTTCCTGGAGCTGTTGTACTGACTGTCACTAATATTTAGTTATTTACATTAGTTTGTTTAATGGAACCATTCCAGAGGCAGCTGAAAGGAAATGTTTCGACCCAAGAGCCAAGTTGTAGGAGAGAACTGACAGAATGAACAGATGCCTCAGCTTAGCCCCTACAGAAATGGAAGTCTGCACAAACTGATGGAGGTCTCTAGTAGCAGAGACTCAGAGGCAAGGTGTGTGGCATCAGGAAATCATCAAAATATTTGATCCACTACGTACATTTTGGGGTTTCTAGGGGCAAAACTGTTCCCAAGGTGCACAGTCTTAAACAGAGTGATGGTAGGATTCAGAGCAAATATTCAAAAGCATATCACAGAGAAGTTCTGATAAATCCCTGGCCACAACTGAATAGCAACTTTCCAGTGAAGCAAACCAAGTTTCTCTTAAAAGCAAGCAGATGGTGGAAACTCCCTTTCCCACAGCCAGCTTGAATCTCTACCCAATGCATAGGGGAAACAGGCAGTGCCATCGCCAATGCATCTAATCCTCTTAGCACTGTAAGTAACATGTCTTCCTTCATCAGCTGAGGCACTATATAGCATCTATAGCATCTGTGGAATACCTTTAGAAACCTAGTACTTCAAATGTTTCCAGCAAAAACAACAATACCATTTGCTCGCTTCCAAAGCAACAAATGTAATGTATTTATTTGTAACCTCCTGACATCAGCTTTCAGAGCAAAAACCAGACAAATACTTAAAAGGAGGCACTGAAGTTTAAGGGGTTTAGAACACACTAGTTTGACGGAGTTTCCCTCTGACAGGTTGCAGATATTTATTTACTGATCATTTGCACCAAAAGTCTACACTGAAAATTCCATGAGTGGAGTGAACTAGACACAGCAGGTGCACAGTGGACCCTTCAAATAGTCCTTCAGTCAGATTTTAGCATTAATGAGAACCAAAATAACCGACAAAAAACCAAAGACATAGCATCCTCCTAATAGCTAAGCACACTTTAACATATTTACCTGCACTCTCAAAAGGCAAAGTATTGACACCTCCTATGTAACTGCAATAATACACTTACCTGTATATACTGACAGGAATGATAAAACAGTTCCAGCAATGCTGATTCTGAAGGTAACATTTACAAAATCGTATCAGAACTATGGTAGTGTTAACCTGAAAGGACTTACTTGCATTTAAATTTGTATAATAACTCTCACTAGTTATATACCTCGGTGATTGAACCTTATACAGAGTCTGACTTTAATCTAAGTACCACAGTATATGACAGCGATGTATTGTATTACGAGGGCAAATACTATGCACAGCTTAGAGATAACTCTCCCATTTGCTAATTAGTCCTTTTAACAAACAGACGAAAACGATCTTTCTCAGGAAACAGAACAAAAGCCAAGGAGAGAAGCTACTCACATTCCTTTGAGCCGCTGCCACATTTTCTCCGCGTGTCCTCCTATTTGATACTTTATAGAGGTGCTTTCCAGTTCCCGAGTTGTTTCCGTCGCTCGAGCCCCCATCATTATTGTCCTACAGTGATACAGTTACAGTCAGGCTCAGCAGCAAGTAAAAGCATTCTTTAGTCCACTACAAATGTCAGAAGATCCACGCATGTTAGACAGTAGCTGCTGTCACATCAAAACACACCACAATCACAACAGCTGAGGGACGATCCTGCCTGAATCGCTATTCACTTTGACAGACAAATCCAGTCTGCCCCCCCCGCCCCAAGCACAGAGCAAGTACGCACAGCTCCTCTGACCTCACGAGTCTAATCCATATGGGTGAGCCAGCTACTACACTACTGACTGCTCAAGCTCCCTTCTCATGCACTTTTTATGCTGTAGGAATATGCACAGAAGCACAAAAGATTCCTTAAAATGGACTACAGTTCATTGCCATGCAGGATAAATGTGAACAGCTTTAACAATCCAGAAGGAAAGAAAGGCTGGTTTCTGTTCTGCAGGTTGGAGAAACAGGCTGCAATAGGAAAGCAGATGGTAGAAGCCAGTATCAGACACATCACTCTACAAAAAAAGTGCATGTTCAAATGCCAGAGCTTTCCTCTCTAGTTGATCCTGAATTGATTCTTAATGAATAAATATCTACCAGCCTCTCAATAACAATGTGACTGTACAAATGCTAAATCGGTAGTGAAGACACATATAAATCCCTGCAGAAGAGAAATGAGAGTGCTCTACAGGTTGTTATTGAGGGAATATGCCATAATGATGACTATTCACCTTCTCCTAGCAACTCCACACAGTAGGTAACTGTCAATTTTACTGGTGGAAAATGCAGCAGCTGCAAGACAGCCTGCTCAGCGAATCCTTCGGGACAGCAGCATGCATGTGTCAAAATCTGATACTGAACTCCGTGTGTCTGCAGCAAAAAACAATTAAGTGCATGCAAACAGCAAAAGGGTCGAGGACTAAACGGTACATCAGTCGTACGGCAGATTCACAGCTCTGCCTTTCGAGTGCAAACCTAAGAACCTAGTTGTACAGCCAAGCTGGGTTTTGGGGAGAGCAAAGGCGAGGATTTCCTTGCTGCTTGCTCAGCCACAGACTTGGGTTTGCAGAGCAGCTCCTGTACTCCGTAAATAGCACCTGTCTTGTTCGGTGAGTCAGTAACAATTTTCATTTCTGAAACAGCAGCCAAATAATCAAATATACCACAGACTTAACTCAGTGATCATGTTTGTTTCAATCAGAGTAAGAACTGTGCAAGAAGCTTGGCAAGAGGGGTGCGCCACGTAGGAGTAAATATGTCCAAGCTTTGCCAGCTCCTGGTGTCACTGCCAGCTGGGAAAAGCGGCTTTGGGTCCACGATGTAACAGTGAGGATGAGCGTCCTCAGGATGCTGACTGGAAGGAGCCTAAGGGTAGGAGATGCATATCTCAGTATGACTTTAACTAGACAGCTTTATCTGCATTAAATTTTACAAAGATGTGAGACGATGAGAGGTTTACATCTGATGCAATTGGCAGAAATGGATAATACTGTTAAGTACTCAGGATCTTACAGAAAAATAAAAAAGAGGCTCACTGCTTTGAAATAATCCTAACACTTCAAAATTTCCTAATCAATTACCTTGCTCTAGGATACCTTTTATGCACATGATAGATTTAAAATATACTCTATGAAAGTTATAGACCAGTTTGAGATGCATCTTTTACACACAGATTTCAGGTGAATAATTAAATAGTACATTTCCTTTACTTCTATGGATTTAACACATACACATTTTTAAACCACTATAAATTCACACACTTTCATAGAATTATGCCTGACTCGGACACATAGGAGTCAGTCCCATAAAATTCATTAGCAATATCTGAAAAACAGCCATTGGATGAGTGACAACTCTTACAATTTTCAAACAGCATCATAAGATGACAGCAAAGAAATACAAAGAGCTGGTTTTTTTTCAAAAAACTGCAAAGCATTTATTTGGTTAAAGGTGGCAGTAGTACCTTTGAAACTTCACTGAGAAACCACTTTAAAACTTCCAAACTTTCCACTGCTGTAATGCATGGAGTCCCACTAAAGTTTGTAAGAAAGAGTACAAATATCCTTCCATAGAATAACTAATGAGAACGTCTCACACTAATTTGCGTTCTTCCCTATCTTTTAACTGCCAGACATCTGAAGCAATGCAAAGAAATTAAGTATTTATAGAAACCACACAAACCTCCAGGGACAGGGGGGAATTTTACGGGCCTATTTTTTCTCATAAAGTATTCCCGGCTCTTCTTGTCCAATTCTACAATGGAAAAATAGTGGTGTTTGCAAGCTGTTCTCTCTCTCACACAAGTAAATAAGTAGTTGAAAATATATCGCTTTGATTTACTGCAGAAAAAGTATTATGAGCAGGTAATATCCTTCAGGAAGGGAGGAAGGAACAAGCTGCCCAAACAATAGCACTGCAAATGGATATACACCTGCTAACTTCACCAGAACTCCACGAAGGAAAATTGTAGAAGCTTTGCTCCCCACAGGACCACACCACTGCAACAACAGAAATTCCTAAAACAAAAGCTGGCATGGCTTAAACAAAGGACAAACAAAGCAGCCTCTTCCCCAAAGGTTCGTCCTGAGGATCGATACAGCAAACCACCAGAGATCAGACTGAAGGATGAAATTGTGTCTCTGAAAATGAAAGAAGCAGCAGGAAACACACCAAAATGAACAGATAAGGTATTAGACAATCAAGGAAGCAGCCAGAGCAAGTGTCCTGTATGTCCTAAGGAGAAAGAAACAAACCATTTAAAACAAACAAATAAACAAACATACAACTTTTAGGTATGCTGTTATCTTGGAAACATGAGCAAAGAAATCCTCATGGAGACATGGGGGAAGGAAGAACCTTTCCTCCCGTTAGCTTCTGTGAATAATGCTCAGAGAATGAAGCAGCCAAGCGTGCCCCCCTGCTCCCACTTAGAGGAAGGCAGGCATAGAGGCTGAGAACGACCGGGTCAAAGCAGTGCCAACACCCCTCCGGCTGCCAGAAGTGACACGGGGCAGAAAGGACAGGACCATGCCGCTGGAATACAGAACTACCGCACATTACAGCCCATACGTAACAATCAGGGGATTGGGGAGGAATTACAGACAACCGGACTTGCTCAGAAACATACATCTGTGCCCCTGCAGTACAAACTGGTCTAAAGAAGATCCAATACTAAACTATTTCAAACCGAGTGAGAGAGCACCTGAACTGAGCCGTTATCTTCAATGATTTTCTCTTCCCATTTCCTGCTCTTGTGATGGTTTTCTGTTCTTGCCCTACCTAACCTAGTGTCTGTGCTACAGTCCCAGCAAGCTGTTGTCACGGTACATCTTTCTCCTACAAAAATATAATCTTCTGTGCCCTTTGCCCACAGCTTTTTATTTTTTTTTTAATTTCCACTTAAAATTTCCATACCAAAGTGAACACTAAAGGAAAGCTTCTATTAGGCAATATGGAGATCTACTAAAATAGGAATAATTAACTTTTTCACCCTTAATTATTGCAAAATAAAACTGTCCGAATGCCACTTAATTCTCAGATAGGAACCTGCACTTAATGTATCCTAAGCTCCTTTTCTTTCATCTACAGATACTTCACTTCAGAAGTAATAACAATGCAAAGAAATAATTTTAAAATACACCCAGCAGTAAAGAAATCAGGTTGGCTTTTCAATACTGAGTACTGAGAGACCTTTACAGTTATGCCAAAATTACAGTTAAAATGAAAATAACTTACCTTAAAATTGGGGAGAAACTGCAGCTAGCCCAGTTAGAGATCAGCTATTGAAACAGGAAAGGGATCATGCAGGTTTTGATGAGGAGAATTAGAGCTTTATTTTAAATAAATCCTCTGCTTCTGAGGGGAAATTAAATACACTGCTTTGTTTGAAATTATCTTCAACACATCTAACTCATGATAAATAGAGAATAAGGAAGTATCAAGAGGCCTGCAGGGTGACTTGTCAGACTAATACTCATCCCTCAAAACCCGACAGCACAAATCTCCCTGTGGTGGAACTGCAGGAGAGCCATGAACCAATTAAGGAATTTGAAAACATAAAAGAAAAAACAAAAAAACAAACAAACAAAAAAAAAGCCCTCCAAAAGATAAGATAAATTTATCGTCAGTAGTGACAGCAGGTATTATGTCTGTATGCTTACTGTCCTGACCCTGTTCTAGCAAGCGCTAACACACATTTAATTTTAAGCAGGTAAAGCACTGCATATATTTGCTGGGTAAGACAGACTTCAACATCATTGTAAATAACGACGTTAAATCACTGAAGAACTGCCTGGGAGTGGACTCAAGTGTTTTTTGTGAACAGAACTTAAGATAGGACAGAGATCCCATCACTCAAATTCTGCTCTTGCAGAAAAGGAATGGTTTGCTAGACAGTATTCTCCATGTCTCCCTCTGCCCTCCCCGCTGTCTATTACACTTGCACTTGTGATGTACAATCCCCTTCTTCACAAGCAGAGTTTCCAGCTTGCTTGTAATGCCCAGACACGTGAATTATTAATCAATAAGAAGCACAGCAGAAGAAATTGGAGTATTTGCTCTTACTAAAGTTCATGGGCTTTATTTAAATATATAGGTATTCAGCAATATGGCAATGGCAAAATATTGATGTTACAGTAATCATGGATACTCAGATTCTTCATAGAATATATTAATAAAATTAGTAGACATCTAATTCACAAATAGCAACGTTAAAGATTTACACGTGTGGTCTACACAGTGCATTGGCGTTGACTCAAGTGAGTAGGTAAAACATTTGGGATTGATACATTAACAGTGAATAGATGATCTAAATAAGGACATCCAACAAGGAACATTTACCTTTTTCTTTAATTTATTTTAGTATTCTCTGCTACATCTGATTTATTGTATTTGAGGCTTCTTCATATAATCACTAACGTATGTATATCTATTCGTGTCCTGCATGTACAAAGCCTTAAGTGTAGCAGGGAGAAAAAATATCTTCTGTTTGTGTGTGTGCATGGCATATCAT